GCCCAGGCTCCGCAAAATCAAGTCAATGTATCACTGCATCTAATGCATCACCTGGTGGAACACCAGGCATTACAGGAAAAGGTCAAATGAATGCAGTCATAATTATGATATGATTTGATTTGGGCAATTCTGTACCAATCTTCGGCGGGCCGGATTAAAAAGACCAACGGGCCGGATGTGGCCCTCGGGCTGTAGTTTGCCCACCCCTGCCCTAGGCAGACAACAGCTTTTAAGATGAAACAACTTTGAAAATTGGATCATACAGGGAAAATTAGAAGTCCCATTGAAAAGATCACCTGACCACAGCTGTCTAAAGGCTTCATTAAAGAGATTGATATCTTATATGTGTACCTGAAACTCCCTCAACTCTGTTGAGGTCAAGAGCTTCAGAGCTCAGTTCAACATGGTCGTCTATGGGAGCATTGGACAGCCCTCTCTGCACTTTGGGGGGATTTCCTCAAAACCCGTAAAATATATCAGAATGAGACCAAAACTGGGCAATACAGTACAAAAAAAAATTACATTTCTGATATAAAAATTGTCAAAGAAGGATGGAAATTGTGGGATTTAAAAAGAGTTTGTCTGACTTTCGTGAGGAAAATCAGGGATGGCAGTTAGCTCCAGGTAGCGAGTGGAGCTGTGCCTAAAGTGGTTTGTTAAGAACCCATTTTTGTACACACATAAGCACACACATATATTGGCAGACACACAAACCATCTCCCCCTTTGGATATTCACCTTATAAAAAAAACATAATTTTGGCATCAGATTTTTCAATGCACTGTACTTCAATTATTATGAGCTGCTTTTTCAACCATTGTAGCATTGTGGTGAGTTGATCTTTTCAATCGGACTTGTGTTTGAAAATGGGATATCGGAGGGAAAACTACAAGTTTCATCTTAAAAGCTGTTGTCTGTCTAGGGAGACAGAGGGGATTGTGTGTGCCCCCTGGTGGCCAAGGTCGCTATAGCAATCAGTGTCTCAGCAGATAGTTACTGGGCAGAAATGGGTAAAGTTGATTCTGGTTGGCTAATTAAGACTCATTAATACTTATCCTTTTAACTCAGGTATGAGAGCAACTCTAAGGTAAATCAACACATGTATTTGCGTGTAATTGCATGTGCATGTCCACCTGTGGTTCTTTGCATGCACACAAAAAACACACACACACACACACACACACTCACACACCTATTAACATAAACACAAACACCATGATTGGGATTAACCTTCAAAATAAAAGTCTCAACATGGTAAAAGGGAATTATTGGATCTGTTGTACAAAACCTTATGCAATTTATACTGCCAAACAGAAAAGCACAGACAATTTCAAAATAAGAGTCTCAAAAGGTAAGTGGTAGGTGTCTTCCGCTGGATGACGAAGTACACCACCCATTTCTGTACATGGAAACTGTACATGGACATTGTATGGACACCTAGACTCACAGACTGCCCAAAAAGACATGTACCTGTGCTGTTATTGAACATTTGACTGTTCTGTAGAATATTATTTGTTGAACTGAAATATAAAGAAGTTATAAAAAAAAAGGTAAGGGGTAGGCAAAAAAGTTCAATCTTAGAAGCTATTGTCTATAAGTGGATATAGTGGTATAGCTTTATTGCAGATCAGCCTCTGTAAGGGCATGTACATGGCTGTAAACATGTCTTGCTATGGTTGTGGGGACATATTTTTGTTTGAATCCATCAGTTTGAGGTTATTTTGGCCAGTCATGATACCTTCAAATGGCTTTTTGAGGGACACCAGCAGTGACTGAGGTCAGTGTCAGGATAAGTCTCTACAACATGAATGAAATTGAAAGGACCGTCTTTTGTACAGATTGAAAGGTCAAGAGTGAACTAGAAAATTCCAGGGAAATTTTGAGTGCCACGGGGGCTACTGCCGGGATGAGTATTTCCAGTGTTCAAAAGTCACCCTGATCATATTCTGGTTTTGAGAAATGTCTTGATATAAAAGACTCTGATATAAAATAATGTCACATCCCTCCATCATGTATTATGTGGGAAATATCTCATATTCTATGTTGTTTTTTTAAATAAAACAAGAGGCAACATGTCTTCAAACTGGCATTTAAAGGGTTAAAATCCTGAAAACTAATAAACATTTGGTAGGTTTGAGCAGAACTGAAGTGGTTTAAGAGATGTATGCAAAAAAAGCAGAAAAAAATATTGATATATGATGATTTTATAGCATTTTCTTTGTGTGTCCTTTTTTGGACGCGAGGAACCCCAGAGGGTACAAAATGTGTTACCAGTGTATAATAGGACTGTAACAGTAACTGACATTAGATTTTAAAAATATGTCAAAAAAGACACTTTCTTGCAGAAATCCATACCTTCAGCTGTAACACAGCCAAAATGATCAGCAAATCAAAAAAGAAAAGCGAAGAAAATGTCCATAAAAGGACAGAGGGACCCCTGAGGGTTAATAAATCCCATGAACCCCTATTTCAATTACCACTATTATGTTTTTTTCGGTGCTAAATTTAACATTACTGGGGAGGAGAGCAACGCGACTAGAAGTGACAGCGAGAGAGAGCTAGTAGCTTCTCCTCTCCTCTGTCTCAGTGGAGACCGTCACAACTTCATTCACTCATTTAACAAAACAAAAAGAAAAGCAACAAAGGAAGCGATAAATGGACTTACATATTTAAGACCTAACTAAATGAAATTTAAGACCTAGCATGCGGCTAATGTAAAGCTAGCGGAGCTTGGAGAGTGCTCATAGTTCTCAGCTATTCTAGCTGTAGAGGAGTGCCTCGGAGCTGAGCACCCGTGGCACTAAATACATGCACCAAGCAGCAGACACATTAAAAATTTTTCCAGGAATTTTCTAGTTAGTGCCACGGGTGCTCAGCTCCGAGGCACTCCTCTACAGCTAGAATAGCTGAGAGGAGTGCCTCGGGGCATCTATTAATATTCCTTCGGGCTTATTATTATTCTTCCACCAATTTTTGGCACGTAACTCGTCCCGCAGCTTTGAGAAAACCCCGGTAATACATACATCAAAACGTGCGTCTTGATCCCGAAAGAGGTGCTACTGACTTAGTTACTGTTACAGGTCTATTATACACTGGTAACACATTTTGTACCCTCTGGGGTTCCTTGCGTCCAAAAAAGGACACCCAAAGAAAATGCTATAAAATCATCATATATCAATGTTTTTTTCTGCTTTTTTTTGCATACATCTCTTAAACCACTTCAGTTCTGCTCAAACCTACCAAATGTTTATTAGTTTTCAGGATTTTAACCATTTAAATGCCAGTTTGAAGACATGTTGCCTCTTGTTTTTATTAAAAAAAACAACACAGAATATGAGATATTTCCCACATAATACATGATGGAGGGATGTGACATGGTTTTATATCAGAGTCTTTTATATCAAGATATTTCTCAAAACCAGAATATGATCAGGGTGACACTGGAAATAAATCATGTACTCATACCGGCAGTAGCCCCCGTGGCACTAAAAATTTCCCTGGAATTTTCTAGTTATTATTATTATTTAAAATTTTCTTTGGTTTTTAAATTGTAATTTTGTCTATACATCTGCTTATTTTGATTAACTATTTATTATGTTCATGCCTGTTCATATGTATTATGTACACTTTAAATAAAAAAATTATAGTAACTGTCCAGGTAACCAGCAGGAAGTGAGTTGTCTCAGCCAGGGGAACTAGCTTTTGAACTGCAGCATTACCACAGCAAAAGACAGCCTCAGCAGTTCATGAGCAGCTGTACAGTTTCTACAACAACTGTGATGAAGTTGCAGGAGAACGACTGTAGATAAGTAAATATTCAAAACATCCCCCATCATCCTGCTTTTCCAACTTAGCTCGATCTGAGGTAAAGGTGGAATCTCTGTTGCAACTTGGAAACTCTCTTATTTATGGACCAAAGTTTTCTCATATCTGTTGCCATGATTCACACAAGCGTGTTCTCAATTGTCTGCAGGTGATGGCCCAGATGACACTAGAACACATCCTACTGCCCCTACTGACCTTTTTGTCTGTAGAGCCAAAATAACAAGCCAATAAAGATCTGAACTTCAGATATATCAACAGCAAAATCTGGAATACATATACAAATCTTCTTTTGAAATAGATTAAACATACATGTCACACATACTAACTCCGGGAACACACTGCCTCGGTGTGTGAGTGTGGTGGCTGACATTGCTGAGCGGCTGCAGAGAATCACACAATGTCCAATGACTCCTGATAGTTGTTGCAGGAATAGGTGCATGTAATTACTAGAAAGTAGTTTGCTAGTGCTTGGTGTTAATGGACCCCATGAGACAAAGATTTCTTTGATTAAATAAATGTACACTTCCTTGTCATATAGGCCTCAGTTTCTTTCATCATGTATGGCCAATAGCTGCTCCTGGTCAAGATACTGACCCTTTCTGTTCCTACATGACCCATGTCATCAAGGAGGTATTTCAGGGCAGTGGATCGTACTTTACAGGTAAAAGTAGTTGTCTGCATTGTCTTTCTGTACAACAGTCAACTTTCCAGCTAAACCCTTTCCCACTCATGTGGGGCAAACAGCAGCTTTTCTTATCTTCGTAACAGGAATGGCAGGTCAAAGTTGGGTAAGCTAACACAGGCAGACTGGACAAGACGTTTATAAGTACAACTTCATGGTGTTCCTGAGTCCACTGTATGGGAACTCTTGAATCTGACAGCTGGCTTCTCTTCCTCATTCTTATTCAAAATAAAAATAATAAAAATTTCTCATGTAGAATTTAATACAGTGGCTTTGTAATTCTGGTAAAATTCTGCACTGCTTTTATTTAAGATATAACATTGTACTCAAAACATGAATATTAAAATAAATATATAAAATATAAGTGTATTTTATTTTAATGTCTAGTTAAAACAGCTGTAGGGTAGACACATATCTATCTGGTAATTCCACTTTAATGTAACTGCTCTTCTATATGTTTCAATCTGTCATGTGTGTTTGTGTCACCATCATAGGACCACCCCAGGGCCGAATATGAATTCAGGGTCATGCAAAAGTCTATGTGCAAAGATCAGAAATCACAGCAGAAGGTAATGTGCATCTCTCAAGTTCATTCATATTAGATTACATACATTATTTTGCCATGTGCTTCAAATCCTCTTGGTTTGTTAACAAGGAGTGTCTCTGTCTTATGTGTGTATGCTTCTGCCTGTGGCAGACAGTGTCTGCTTTACACACCTAGTTATTTGGCTTTAGTCATCTGATCAACTTTAATTTGCTATTTACATGTCAATAGCTGGGACATGGTCCAGCCCCTCAGGGCCCTAGAGTAAGGCTCAACGGTAAGCAATTATAGATAATGAATGGATTCATATATTGTGCTAATACAGTTATACTTCCAGCAGTGATTTGCATTTTGTTATGTTTCTTTGTTTGAACATGGTGTCTGGCTATGTTTTACAGGTACTTCTCGATTACAATCTAAAACCCTGACTCTGACAGCTGACTGATCAGTAAAATTAAACAAAGTTTACTTTTTGCATGACTATACATTTAAACAGCTTGTGTTTTTTATTCCCTGGTAAGCTTCCTGATTCACAGTGACCATCAAAGTTTGAATCACTGCAGGACAGAGATGCGATATCACTAAGCACAGGTGCAGTTGTCTTCACCCAGGAAATGTTACTGAATACAATGCAGAGGGAGAATTACTAATATATTACATCCAACAACTGGAGTTTTGTCAGGACGATGACAAAATAAAGCAAAAAACTTCTCATTTGCCAGCTGATTTCTTGCTTATTTTCATTCTTGAACTGAATTTGTATTCTTTGCATTTCTTTGCAACCAAGCCACCAATAAAAGCAGGTGTAGCCTGTGATTTATGCACCACACTTAGTACTGAAGATAATGTAGGTGAAAGGCCAGCCATGCCACAGGCTCCAGGTTTAAAGGCACATGAATAAATGTTGGGGCCATAAACTCTCAGATTAACAAGCACAAGTCGGCAGTTTAAAGAACTGTATGAGTTGAAGAGTGAGTTTTCCATCAGGGTTTTGATTTAAGATTAGTTCAGCTGGAGTTCAGGCTGTAATGCTCTTTGGAAGTTTTATATAATAACATGCGTCTGTCATAACGTTTCATCATCCATGCTCTGTTTCATAAACAGAAGACGACAGCAGTCTCTCAGTGTCTCAACATCTACATTTACAATACCCGTACAGTTACAGTACACTTCACTAAATTTGGTTGTTTTTTTATTTATTTATTTTAGGTGGAAAAGCTCACGTATCGTGACCGCCTCCCTGCCTACATGACTAACATTGTCATGATGCTGTTAATGGTAAGTGTAATGACATCATTGAGGATTTACAGGAAGGCTGTGGAATGATTATATCTTTTCCCTCATTGTCTCCATCTTGTGTTTGTAATCCTGCACACCTCTTCATTGTCAGATTGGTGTTACATTTGCCATTGTGTTTGGTGTGATCCTCTACCGAATCTCCACCAAAGCCGCTCTGCATATGAGCTCCAATCCTATCACACGGAACCACGTGCAGCTGACAGTTAAAACCACTGCAGCCATTATCAACCTGGTGGTCATCCTCATTTTGGATGAGGTGTACGGAGCTGTGGCACGATGGCTCACTGTGTTAGGTAAGTTAGACAGGCAGTTACCTAGAAACCAGATCACATTTCTATCATAATAGTGGACAATGGGATCTTTTAATAAAGTGAAATTAATTAGTTGGTCACTCTGTTACCTTTTTATTCAGTGTGTGTGTTTATGGACTTTTATTTTGTAGTACCCACAAACTGAAAGTGTCCAACATTGTTCAAGGCACTAACTGTTCATTGTCCAAGGCATGAAATGTGTCTTTCTATAGATGCTGAAAATCTGATCATGGTCTCTTTTATTTTCAAGACAATTATCTGTTTCACACAGTTTTCTTTTTTTCCCCATCTCTTTTATTTCACAATAATCAGCAATCATAAGTGGATGAACCCACAAACACCCATAACAGCACACTACACACCTTCATACTCCCCATCCCTTCCCTCCACCCTAGCAAACAGAACAAAAAAAAAAATTATTAAAAATATATATGTGCGTGCATGTGTGTGTGTGTGTGTGCGTGTGTGTGTGTATATATAGCCTATACATACACACACACACACACACACACACACACACACACACACACACACACACACACCAACATATACATATACAAACAGAACAACAAAAGCAGCAGTGACTGAGTGTCCTTAATGTCCTTAATATGTCCTTTATGATTGAATTTATGATGAACCTACTGTATATCCATAGTGGTTCAGTACAAGAATTTGTCCAGGTTTATTATTGGTCATTTCTAGATGAACTTTATAAACAAGAATTGCAGGAACCACAGGAGTCGTGTGTTATAGTTAATAATATTCTGCATTTTATCTTATCTAGATAAAAATCATGATATCGTTAAGTAAGTAGAAGAAAGGGTTTAAATTAGGTTCTATTTTCAAGACTGATGTAGTGAAGGAGTGAATCTAATTTCAGAAAGTTTTTTTTTTTTTCCAAATATTTTTATTAAAAAGCTACAATACAATACTTTCAATTTCAGAAATACAGTTCAGCTTTTCTTTTTTACACACATATATGTATACAGTCACATATACAGAACAAAACAAAACAAAAATACTCTGATAAAAATGTAGAAGAAAATAATTACATTAATTTACAGAGTGCCATGTAATAAACAGTGAACAACCCCCCACCCACGCCCCTACCTGGCTCATCACGACCACCACACATACTATTGGTCATTCATGTAATATAAAAAGATACAACAGTAACATGCACACATTCAATCAGGTAGTACCTCTAAATTAGCGAAATAGGAAATAAAGGGTTGCCATTCGTGAAAAAAATTGACTGTACATCCTCTCAACGTATATTTAATTTTCTCAAGTTTTAGAAAAAACATGACGTCTTTAAGCCACCAGGAAAAAGAAGGATATTTAGCAGACTTCCAATGCAGCAATAATAAACGTCTTGCTAGTAAGGATGTGAAAGCTATAATATCCTTTTGTGTAGAGTTAAATGCAAGTGAGGGGTCAGGAATCCCAAATATGGCGATCAGAGGGCAAGGATGAATATTTACCCCAAGAACAGTGGACATAATAGAAAAATAACCTGCCCAGAAACCTTTCAAATCAGGACAAAGAAAAAACATGTGGCTAAGGTGACAAGGAGAGCCATGGCATTTATCACATTTGTCTTCCACTTCTGGATACAATTCAGATAGTCTAGACTTAGAGAAGTGTGCCCTGTATAAGACCTTAAATTGAATAAGTCCAAGATGAGCACAAGAGGTGGTAGATCGTACCCTCTGTATGGCCTGTTCCCAGGTCTCCTCATGTATTTGTATTCCCAGTTCCCCCTCCCATGTGCACTTAAGTTTAACATTTGAGTGGGTGCTAAAAGCCAAGATAATATCATACAACTTTGAAATGATACCTCTGTGATGAGGAATAAATGTTAGCATGGATTCCCACTTGTGTTCTGGGGGTAAAGAGGGGAAATTAGGGAAACACTTACTAACAAAATTGCGAGTCTGAAAATAGCGAAACAGATGAATAACAGGGAGGTCATAACGAGATGACAAATTGGCAAAATTATCAAAGACACCATTTACATATAAATCTTTGAATTGTGTAATACCCTTGTCATGCCACACTGAAAATGTCGAGTCAGAAAGTGACGGAGGAAATAAATGGTTATTATTTAGAGGACCCGAGGAAGATGCAGCTACAAATTTATAGTGCCGTCTAAATTGAAACCAAATTTTGAGGGTTAGGGTTGTGTTAAGAACCACTTGATTGTCAGTATATATAGAGGGTTTTGTAGGTAGAGAGGAATAAAGTAGAGCAGGTATAGAAGATCTCTTACAGGATGATAATTCCAATTTACACCAAGAGGATCCAGGAGATTTTAACCAGCAGCAAAGTTTATGGATATGGGCAGCCCAATAGTAAGCTAGAAAATTAGGTAATGCAAGTCAAAAAAATGTTTTGGCAGACAGAGAGGAATTGACTGAAATGAAAATAGAAATTTAGGTAAGATATACATTTTAACAACATTGATCTTGCCGATTAATGAAAGGGGGAGATTACCCCATCTTTGAATATCAGATCTAATCTTTGAGATGAGAGGAGTGAAATTAGCTGATGCTAGCCAAGATAAAGAATGAGTCACGTTAATGCCCAGGTATTTAAACCCTGATGGACTAAATTGAAAAGGTAAATCTGACTGTTGAAGATGACGTGCTGCAGTATTAATGGGAAAACACTCACTTTTCCCCAGATTTAATTTATAACCTGAAAAGGTGCTGAAGTTCTCCAGAATACTTAAAACAGCAGGGATAGAGCGTGTAGGATCAGAAATGTACAATAACAAATCATCCGCATACAGCGATAATTTATATTCGACTCCATAACGGGTGATCCCCTTAAATAAAGGAGAAGATCTTAATGTAATAGACAAAGGCTCGATAGCGATGGCGAAGAGCAAAGGTGATAAAGGGCAACCCTGGCGACTTCCACGACCAAGAGCAAAATAATCAGAATAAACATCATTAGCATGGACACTGGCTTTAGGGGACGAATAAAGGAGATGAATCCAGTAGATAAATTTATCACCAAATCCGAATTTCTTCAAAACTGCAAAACAGGTACTCCCACTCTACCCTATCGAATGCCTTTTCAGCATCTAAGGAAATCACAAGTTCAGGAAGTTCAGTCGAACGTTCTGAATAAATTATATTGAAAAGTGTACGGGTATTAAAAAACAATTGACGTCCCTTTATAAAACCATTTTGCTCTTCAGATATAATATAAGGAAGCACATTCTCTAAACGAGATGCAATTACTTTAGCCAACACCTTTACATCAGCATTAAGCAAAGATAATGATCTATAGGAACTACAGGAGGTTGGATCCTTGTCCTTTTTGAGAAGGAGAGCTATAGTGGCTTGTGTCAGAGTTGGTGGTAATGAACCATTTTCTAATGATTCATTGAATACAGATAAAAGTAGTGGTGCCAATTTACCAGTAAATGTTTTGAAAAAGTCAACCGGAAACCCATCAGGGCCAGGGGCTTTGTTAGATTGCATAGCTTTAATTGCATTTGATACTTCTTCAAGGGAGAGTGGGGAGTCCAGTTGCATGGCACTATTAGTATCAATGACAGGATTCGAAAGGTTCTGCAGAAATTTGCTAATTTTAGTGTTGTCTGTAGGAAATTCAGATTTATATAATGAAGAGTAAAAAGATTTAAAAGTAGCATTAATTTCCAAGGGATCTGTAGTAATCGTGTCATGAGTTTTTTTAATACTAGGTATCAAACGGGAAGTGGCTTGTCGTCGTAACTGATGTGCCAATAAACGACTTGCCTTGTCGCCATGTACATAATATGAACCACGACTACGTAGTAACAAGCGCTCTGCCTCTTTAATTGAAATGAGATCGAATTCTGCTTGCAAATCAAGACACTGCTTAAGTAGCTCCGGAGAAGGGTTCAGTGCGTACCCTTGATCAAGGTTACCAATTGCAAATGTAAGTTCATTAAGCCTAGCATTCATCTTTTTATTAGAAAGAGCAGTCTACGAAATAATTTGACCTCTCAGGTAACATTTAAGTGTCTCCCATAGCAATGAGTATGAAGAGGAGTCATTTTGATTGAAAGACAAGAACTCATCAATGGAATTTTAAATGAATTCGCTAAATTCTTTATCTGCCAAAAGAAGAGAGTTAAATCTCCAAAGTGGTGGGCTATGTTGATAGGTAGAAAGTCGAATTTCCAATAATAAAGGTGAATGGTCAGATATTACAATACCTAAATAGTCAGATGAATTTACACATGAATTAAGAGTACTGTCAACAAAAAAGTAATCGATCCTAGAATATGAATGGTGCACCTGGGAGAAGAAAGAATTTTTTTTAATAGAAGGGGTATGAGATCTCCACAGATCAATAAGACCATTCTGTTTCATAAAATCTGAGAATGTTTTAGACATAGCAGATTGAGTCAGATTGCGAGGATTCGACCTATCCAAGATTGGATCAAAAACACAATTTAGATCTCCTCCAAGAATCAGCAGGTGAGTATTCAAGAAGGGGATGTTTCCCAGGAATCTGTTAGCAAATTCAACATCATTGAAGTTCGGGGTTCAACAAAACCTTTTTTTGCATTAGGGTACCAGCAACTATGAGGTATCTGCCATTCCTATCAGCGATAACATCAGTGGATGAGAACTGAACTTTCTTGTTAATGAGAATGGCGACTCCTCTAGCTTTCGAGTTAAAATTTGAGTGGAAGATTTGACTTATCCAGGGGCAATGTAACCTATGGTGATCTTTAATGTGAAGATGAGTCTCCTGTAGAAATACTATATCAGAGTTTAAACGTTTCAAGTGTGTAAAAACCTTAGATCTCTTAACAGGATTACCCATACCTCTGATATTCCAACTAATAAATCTGAGAGGTGTACATGACCCAGCGATGCTGGGACTTATATTGCCATTAACCATTTAAATAAAAGGAACAACAAAAATGCAAATGGTCATAGAGAGCCAAGGTGGGACACCCTCCCCCCAAGATA